CGGCACAACCCCGGCCGTCCCCCAGCTGCTCTGTCCCAGGTGTTCCCAAGAGCAGCTGGGGTCCTGCTGGCTTGGTGCTGTAGCGCCCCCCCTCAGCGCTGCGGGACCAACCCGGCAGCACCCCAGCTGCTCTATCGCAGGCATCCCCGATTCAGCGGCTGCTGAAACTGACCAGCAGCAGCTGAGTCAGGGACACCTGGGTCAGAGCCGGACTATCGTAAGGGGGGTCTATGAGGGGCCTGGGGTGGCATCCCCTCCCACCCCACTCCAGACCCCTCATAGCCCCCTTTCTGATAGTCTGGCATATCTGATAGTCTGGCACCCCCTGGGTCCTAAAGGTGCCGGATTATCAGAAGTTTACTGTACTTACTTTTTAATAGGGATCTATCCTGGCTCCATTGAAATCAATAGGCTTTTGTCATAAATCAGGGGTCTCAAACTCATGGCTCATAGGTCATTGACAGCTCAGGCAATTCCCCAACATGGCCTGCACATGCTGCTGTCAAGCGAGTCCCTGCGGCTCTGGGTATGTGTATGGCTATACCCTTCCCCCAAGTCTAACCCATGCTCTGCCTCCACCCCACTGCTTCCTGCCCCTGCTCTGTCCCCTCCCCTTCCATTGCAGCCCCTCCCCCAAGTCACCTCCCCTGAGGGATGTGGCCTTGGGGATTACCAGGGGGCGTGGTGTGGAGCAGTGGCAGGGGTCAGGACTCCTCACTGGCAGTAGGAGCTGTGGAGAAGCAGAGCGATCCAGCAGCCTTATCTCTGTTCTGCTCTGCCCTGCTGCCATCTTCCAGGCCAGCCTGACTGCTTCCCCTTGGCTCTGTCACCACGGTGAGGGCAGGGGATCCAACCCCAGCTGCCGGCCCCAGCCCGTTCAGGGCCCTATGGGCTAACCTGAGTATGGGGACCATGCCGTCGTTCGGATGGTTGGGGCAGCCATCCTGGGGTCCCCCAAAGCTTGAGGTCTGGGGCAGCCCCCTGAACCACCCTATAGATGGGATGGCTCTGCACGGACCCTTCCGGGCCACATGGTTGTGCTGGCAGCACTGTGGAGTTAGCAGCCAGAAGCTGCTCTAGCCCCGCTGAGCTGCTGTTGACAGGTACCCTTGGGGTTTTTTAAATCACCAGGTGGCAGCTGGTGGTGTCAGAGGCATGCGCGGGGGGGAGCACACAGATACCTCTGCCCCCTCAGGGTCTGTCAGAGTGGGTACTCAAAGGCCAGTAGGGGGATTTGAGGACTGGCGCCAGCCCTAACATAAATTGAATTTGAGACCCCTGGCCTAAATAGAATCAAGATTTAGTCCATTAGCAATACTTGGGGCTAGAGTCACGAAGGTATTTAGGTGCCTAAAGATGCAGATGGGCACTCAGTACAACACAGGAAAGTACTCACCTTCTACTGGAAGTCAGTGTAAATCCCACGAGGTCCCCTAACAGCCACTTCAGGTGCCTAAATCCTTTTGTAAAGCTGGCCCTCATGGCATAGCTGGTGCTTTTTCAGCTGGAGAGCTCCAATTTCTCCACGAAAGGAGATGGGTGTCACCCTTCCCATTTTGCATGTGGGGAAACTGAGGCAGAGATGCAAAATGATTTTGCCACTGCCGTGCAGCAGGCCATGTGCCGAACCCACATCTCCAGCCCCCCAGTCCAGGTCCTTATCCACTGCCTTCCAGGAACACACATCTGGGCTTCTTTACCATGCTCTGACCACTGCAGCTGGGACTGCAGTTCACACCTTGTCTGGCCTTCTGGGAGGACATCTCATGAAAATCCCAAATGCTGCACGTTTCTAGGGACACAGGAGTTGTCAGATCAGATGAGGCTCCTGGATACTAGACAGCCCCTGATGCCTCAGAAGGAACCAAAAAACACATTCTACTCGTAATCCTGCTTCGGTGCAGGAGGCTGGTCGAGAGGACCTCTTGGAATTCCTTCCAGCCCTTCTATTTACGGCTGAACTAGGGTAATTACCTCCCACAATACTCCACTGATACCAGCTTGTGTAAGGCTCTGGCAGCCAGATCCTTGGCTGGAAGTCACTTGAGCTATGGCAGTTTACACCAGTGGACAAGCTGTCTTTCTATTCATCCTGCCTACGCCTTCTTTCCAAGAACAGGCTAGAGAAGCAGTGAATCGGCAAGAATGCGTACAGGGAATGTTACCTGCATATGGGAGAACAGCTCCCAGTGGAATGGGTAGGCAGACTATACCCATAAGATCAGTCATATTTCCAAAAGACAGCTGGGGTTTGAACTGAGACACACACACACCCACCCCAGGAGCCTGAGAGTTACAGTCAGGTGAAACAAGTCGTACCATGCGAGCTGTGTAATTTCAATCAACATGAACGCTTTGATTGCAGACGCTGGCTGCAAACTATCATCAGGTCCGGAACCGAGTGTCAAAATTATTCAGCCAGCGATTTTGAAGGAACAAAGGCATTCAGGACAATCCTGGGTTGCTTGCAGGCAACTGAGTGGAAAAAGAGACATTTCTTTGACTTGATTTTTTTGCTATAAATGATTGGTTCAGCTCGGTGCCCCTGGGCAATGCAGCGCACGGCGGAAATGTGTAGGACTGTGGCGTAGCAGGGAGATGCTATGGTAACACCTCCCTGCATGCAGAAAAGGAGGCAGAGAAAATGGAGTTCAGAAGCACTGAGGGAAAAAGGCTAGAGCTGTCAGGAATACTCCATTCCAGAGGAGCTGTGTCCGGGGTTGGCACTCCGTGCACACGAGACAGTGGTGGAACGTGCTCATGGGGGTGGGAAAGCAGTTTACCTTTCTTGTATAGGAGCAACAAATGCTTCTTGCTGAGCACGCTCCTCTCAGGGACCCTGAATGTATTTTGCCAAATAGACACAACCTCCCTTGCTCCCCCACTGCTTTGGCCATACAGGTGCTTCCTCTTCCCACACTAGTTCCCAGAGTTATAATCTGGCCTTAGTTTCCCACCTCTGCAATGATCAGGTTATATATTCTGGAGCATGGGATCATATTGCCTTTCTCTCCCAGAGAAATTATACCCTTAGGGTGTGTCTAGACTACAGGGTTTTGTCGACAAAAGTGGACTTTTGTTGACAAAACTATACCTGTGTCCACACTGCCTTTGAGTTATGTCGACATAACGTCGACAGAACTCAGCAGTTTTGTTGATGTATGTAAACCTCATTCTACGAGGAATAACGCCTTTTGTTGACAGAGTTCTGTTGATAAAAGGCATTATTGTATCTAAACTGTCCTTTGCGTCCACACTGTTATATCGACAAAGCAGCTTGCTTTGTCGACAGAACTGGCTGCAGTCTGGACGCTTTTTGTCGACAGAAGCTTTGTTGACTGTATGGCTGTGTCTAGACTACATGCCTCTGTCGTCAGAGGCATGTAGATTAGACACATAGGCAAAGGCAAATGAAGCCGCGATTTAAATGATCGCAGCTTCATTTACATTTACATGGCTGCCGCGCTGAGC